AGCAGGCACAGAACATCTAAGCCATGTTGAAAGAAAAAGACTAGACTAGACCCAATGTCTCCCCCTTAGGTGTGGAGATACACTATTAGGTACACAGCATACTTGGAGTCCATTAAACCTGCTTTCACAAAAAAAAAAAAAAGTATTTGGAAATGCTGGGATCTGAATTAAATAACTGGCAGGTTTGAATGACTAGGGGAGTCCAGTCTTTTCTGAAGAATTACTAGAGTTAATGTGAATACCTGTAAGCACATTTTGAAGCTACTGTGATCCTATTGTTTGTGGTTTGGAAGCAAGCTAAATATGTTTGAAAAATCCAGAACTACTTTTCTTCTGACCCAGTATTCATAAACAGATATTTCTTACATTTTCCTTGATGGCATCTCATTTCTGTTGAACTGGAATAAAGCTGAGAAACTAGCCAGGTTGTGCGAAAACGTGCATATCTCAGGTAAAGCACACATTGGCCAGAATATAAAGCAAATGATATTTTGTTTTGAGGATGCATTTTCTTCGAAAGTGTGTCAAGAGCACATCTCTGCTCTTGTACTCAAACACAATGAAACTGAAAATTGCAGAATGCAGAATCTTACTTCCCTTCTAATTGCTTCTGCTGGTATCGTTTAATCTTGGGTAATTATTTAATCATATCTAAAATGCTAAAATGACAGGAGTAGAATTTCCATCCATTGTTCCGAAAAATGATAAACATTAGTTGACTGTCACAGGAATAAAACAAATGTAAATCTTGACTGATGGTGATTTGTTTTGTATATTAGAAAAAATCCCTACTTAGTGATGATGGGAACAGCTCAGATTTCCAAATGCAAAACTTGTCAAGTCTGCCATACAACTGAGCTACTGAAGTTGAAAAATCTATTATTTAGAACAAATATTTCATACAGGGAAGTTCTAGGTGAGCTGAGCAGTTGATTGTTAACTTGTACTGAGGCCAGCCATAAATTTGCGCTGCCTTACAGCACACTGAAAATGCCTGTGCTCAGCACTGCAAAATTGTCAGTTACTGATTTCATCATTCAGCAAGGTAAGTTGCTAACGTTATGGTTCTCAAAGACGGATTGGCAAGTTTTCAGTCCCAATGTTATTGTGCTTGTGCTCAGTTGGGTGATCAAGAGGGAAGCCCGGTATCGCAGTCGGGTAACTAGGAGATTTGTGCTGGGACATAATTTATACAGAAGTCAAACAGACTGTCCGCTGTCTTCTACAGCGGGATGATAGCTCTACAGCCTGGGCTGGAGAAGAGGCTGACTCACTGTGGAGCAAGGTGAGAAGCAGACTGCTGCAGTTAGGTGTGGTCGATTGTTGTTGCGCCTTCTTGGTATTTTTTTGCTGAAGATAATTTTATGGATAAAATGGAGGAATGGTTCCTTTGCTTGTTTTCAGATGATCTAGCCTTTCATCAACCGCCTGGGATTTCTCTGCACGCAGAATAAAAATCAAAACTCAGTTTGCACTGCTTGTGACAAAATGCCAAAGATTTTTTTTTTTTCAGTCAAAACTTTTCGTTTGAAGTATTTCTATAAAAAATTATAAATATCCGCAAAAGTATTTGGCTGAGCCTGAGATTCCTTGAGATCCTTGAGCATGTTCACAGGAAGGGAAGCGATGCCCTGGTCAGCTGTAGTTGGGCTGCAGCTTGGCTCTTGCTATCTATTTTGCTCCAAAAAGGCCACGGCTTGCGCCCGCGCTGTCAGTGGTAGAGGGTGCTGCCTTGAGAGGAAGGGTCTTAAGTAGCCGGGTCAGGGACCAATAGGCTGGGGTGAGCTGGAGAGGGCAGAGGCAGGCAGACCTGGCAGCCAGAGCACCACCTCGGTGTCTCTCTCAGGAGAAAACGCAACAGCGGGGCATGGCGTAGAGAGCATTTCCCCTAGCCGGGGCACCTTGCCTTTGCAGATGGTGCAGCAATGGTTATTCTTGCACTCGCAAACATACCCTGGCCTGACCGAAAGTAAGATTGTTCCCAGCACCTCTTTTCTGGTGAGGGTTTATAGAAGACCTGTGGTATCGTTTTTAGCCGCTATCTGAATTACCAGTTTGTGCCTGCAGTTCCACAAAGCAGTGTAATAGCCACCACAATATGTACACACATGCATGCATGAATGTGTGTATGTGCGTATGCACGTGCGTGCATGCGTTTATAGTAGCTGTATTTCTAGCCCATGTGGCTGTGAACAAAATACTCTCAAGTGTGAAACAGTAATAATTAATGCATGATGTCAGAACCGTGTTCAGAAATCAAATCACAGCTGTCTTCCAGTGTTCACTTCTCTATGTTATTGGTTTTGTGTTGCTGATCCTGTTTTTTTTGTGTGGTTTTTGTAAGGATTACTATTGAGTGTTGTGCAAGCCAGAAAATTATGTGAGCACAGATTATCATGATAGATTTATTCTCAGTGTCAAAGAGTCTGCAAATGCAAAAAAAAATCCCCAAACACAGCAAAACAGAGAAATATATGAGAGATTTAAGATGTTTGGCTATTGCTTCTATTTAATGCTTATATTTAATGTGTAAATACTTAGCTTTCCTTTCCTTGTTACGCTCACCATTTCCTCCATAAATAATGCCTTCTGAGCATAGAGAGCTGATTTGTTCCTTATTTACAGAGAAACAAAATTTTTGAAAGCAAGCCACTTCACACAGGAACCTCTTAAATTGTATTCTGTGTGATAAAAACCTGATTTTTTCATAGAAGTAGGATTTTCTTGTATTTATTTTCATCTTAGTGTCCATGGAAGTTTAGACTCATGTGGTGCTGACATTATGAAGAATGTGATTGATAAGAATTTGAATTTAGGTGCCTTTGGCATTTAAAATTGTATGTATTTAATTTCATAAAAATGCCATGTTGCCAGTGATAGCAGTAAAAACAAAAGAACTTGTGGATAATAGAAAACAGACAACCATTCATGCTACATTGGAAGAGGTGTCTGGACCTAGAGCAGACTGTAAATACGGATGATAGATGAAAAGCAAATGACAGGGAGATCTTGCTCCCTGCCTCTCTTTCGCCCTCTCCTTCGCCTTCGCCTTCCCCCTCCCTATCTCCCTCTGTCAGCACACTTCAGACAAGTTCTTGAATAACGAATAAACCCTATAAAGGCCATTTAGCCTTCAGGCATAATAATCATTCATTAAATTGTTAAAAGAAAGAATAACTTAGGGCATGGGCCGTCTGCGTGTACAGAGCGTTGGCTGTGTTGCAATCCCATAGCTCTGGCGCTCGGGATGCGTGCGACCAGCTCTCCGCTGTGTTGCAACAGTTTTCTACTAGCGCGCATCAGCAGAGGTCGTTTAATTTGTTTCAGGGCAAAACTGTAGTCTTCTTGTTGTGAAATCGGCCTCATAGGGAAGGAAAATCTCTATGAAAAATTTGAGACAAAATCATGGTGCATCTTTTCAGGACTAAGGAGATCCCACAGCCTGCATGTTCTGCTGAAATGTCGGATACTCGTTAGGATGACTGTGAGACCAGTGTTTTAAAATCTCAGATGACTGTCAGCATCTTGCGGCTCAGAAATGCATCTGTCTGCATTTCTTCCTTTCTGAATATAAGAGGGGCAGCAACTCCTCTTGCTTTTCCTCTTGCCCCCCCCCCCCCACACCGGAGAGAACTCGGGGGCAGGAGTATTTTTGGAATTCTGGTTATCGCTACCTGCCGGCCTTTCGTGGCAGCGGGCGGAGGGAAAGCGGCCCCAGCTGCGTCCATGAGACCAGATGGACGAGTGCACCACATCCTACCAGGCTGGATGGAAGTTTCTGCCCAGCCTGTTGTTCTCCTAAAAAATGCCTCTCCTTCAGCATGGGTGACTAGACAGGATATTTATCTATCTGCATCGTGGCCACTCCAGTGCCCCGCTTGCAAATGAGCACAGCCCTTCGTTTCTCATGCCTGTAGAGGAGCACACCAGCCTGTGAGCGGAGAAGGCTGTTGGGCGCAGGCGTGTTTTAGTTATGTGCAAGGATGGCATCAGACAGGGTTTGGGACAGACATCAGTGCCAGCAGCCTGCAGCAGAAACCATCTGCTAGAAAATGCCAGTGCTGCATGTCACCAAGGACAGCCTCATGCAGGGCTGCTGCAAGGGGGCCTTCTCCCTTTTCCCTCTTTTGTTTCATGAAGTGCTGTCGCCTCAGGCTGAGCCTGTTTATCCAGTTGTTTATCCAGTTGCAAAGGAAAGCTATTCTTAGGAACTTATTTATTTATTTTCCTGATGGATCAGCCAGATAAACAGACTTACCCTGTGGGGTGCCTCTGGTGGATGAGGTACCAGGGGAGCAGTGGCATGTGCTGCTGGGAGGAGCAGAGGTGGGGGAGCAGCTCGCCTGCCCCTCTCTGCGGCAGCAACTCACAATCAGATCAGGTTAGCTGTAACATCAAACAGCACATACTCTTGGCCACGTTGGCCATGTGGTCTCAAGGCAGCTTCCGTCCCTCTGAAGTGGTGCCGTTTCTGCCCCGACAGCCTGGAGTGATTTCCCTCCTAGCTGCTTGCTCCCAGGCCCTCATTTCTGCTGCCACTGAGGCTCCTCTGATCCATCCGTGAGTCTGCTCGGGGCACTACGCCAGCAGGAAAATATCTGTATTTTTATAATGTTACTCTGCTGATGCAAAAGATCTCAGACATTTGATAGATCTCCATTATCCGTGAACGAGGATGGTCTTTTACGTCATGCAGCGTATTGCAAGAAAGCACCTGTAGGTCCACCTGCCTCAGGCCTTGTCTGAACATGCCGCCCATGTCCTGAGCGCAGTCTTGTTCAGTGCCAGGACGAGTTTCCTTCCTCAGATTTGAAAACACCTGCTATAATGGAACAGCTGTTTGCAAGGGTTTTTAGGGAAAAGATTTCTGTTTGCACTCCATTTCTTCCTCTAACCCCTCAACACATCTCCATTGCACTTTTTGAGTGTCTTAAGGCTTTTTATTTCTTTTTTTTTCCCTTGTAATAACAGTTTATCCTTTCTTTTCTCTTGTATTTTAGTTGCGATCGAGCTCAGAACTTGACCAGGACATCCTGAACGACTGCCTTGCGATCCAGCCTCTCCAGCCAGCCCCTTCACCACACAACGCTGCAGATACTGTCGGACCATCCCCAGGGCCGCCTCATGATATCTACCCAGGTATAGAAAAGAAAAGAAAAAAAGCCTGCGCTATTTATTGCTTTCTTAAGATTAGGGATGTTTTTGCAGCATAAGATATCCTCTAAAATCATCATCATGTCATGAGAAGGGTAGAATTTGCAAAGTAATATGAAAAGGCAGATTTCAATCAGATTTTTACATCTTTTTTGAGGGAGGGGAGGGATAGCAAATCTTATTTTGTCCACAAAGAGACCTATCACAACAAAGAGGAGTATATTTGCTCTGTGGGCATTTGGCTTCTGCTAGCAATTCATTTCTGCCTTTCCTTGTAGGCATCTTGAACTCGTTAAGCTTCATTAAAGGGATGTGTTTCATCTTCATTATACATGGATCACATATCAGTTTTCTAAAAGTCCTACATCAGCAAACTAAAATGCTGCATTATGAGTTCTCGTATTTTGTGTAAGTCTAAATATGCCAATAAACACATTTAGGCCATAAAAGTGATAATCCTATTTTTATTGCTTCAGTTAAGTATTTGGGATTTTCCTATTAAAATACATAACTCTCATGCCTGGCTAAACATACAATGGCTGTTCACATTTCAGCTAAATTTGAAACATTTGAGAAGTTAGAAGTGATAATACGTCTCAAAGTTCAGCACAATGGTGGGCAGCATGTTAACATTTTTTATGAAGTATTTTAATACTTGTGAAGACATCTGTTTTTAACTGTCAGGCAGAACGTATTACATCTTCTAATAGTCTTTACTCTGGTACATTTGAGCATCCAAGTTTTAACTGAGAAGCAGATGTAGCAAGTGAAAGAGTTGGCTGAATGATAACGTGCAGCAGTGAAAGTGACATTATCTGAAGTGGCCACTTGAAAAAAGTGGCTTTATTTTGCTGAGAGGCTTGCAAATATAGCAGTCCTCAGTATGCTTTTGTCAAGGCTATTGTGAGCTGTTTGCTGGTTTGTGTTGATATAGGTTTATGTTGAAAAAACCAGGAAATTGAAAGCTGTTTCATACATTGGTTGTATCCTAATTCATAAGATATTTGGTATTATCTGTATGCTGTTAACCTTTAAATGCCTTAGTCTGATCAAAGTCAGAATATAGCACCTGTTATCTGAGAGCTAAAGGAAATTTCAGGTTTAAAAGATATGTTTTTGGGCAGGGAACCTCTACCACACTGCAGTAGTAAAACAGTGTCTTACATGTGGGTTTTTTCATATTGTACTTTGAGAGGGAGCTGGATGTTGGGAAAAGTTTAGATAAAAGAATTATTTACTGGCGTTACTTAGTGAAATATAAAACTCACAGTGAGATAAGAAAAGATTGAACTTGTCCTTTCAAGTGCCTAAATATCACGGAAGATATATGGCAATGGTATTTCAGATGAGCGCGGTAGCTACAATTGAGACCAGATTTTCAGAAATTCGGGACATTCTCACAGGAAGTTTCCACTGAAATCTCTTGAGCACTGAGCTCTTTTACAAATCTGGCTTCTAGACTGTACTTAAGTGTTTAAAATCCAGGCAGCTGGATCAATCTGCATCTAGGCTGATAGTGGCTTGAACGAAGAGCGGCCCGATGATTTGCCAGCGTCCTAAGCCAAATAAAGTGATTGTCTGTAGCCAGCCCTTAGCTGAAGATTGTCTGTAGCCAGGATAGCCCATAAATGACCTCTGAGGTGTGTCATGACGTTTCACAGTGTCACTCATGCCTTGTTTTTCAGTATTTGGCATTTCTAGCACTACTGACAATTGAGATTCTTTAATATAATAATTTATTTTTTTGCCTTGCTTGTCATTGCTTCCTACTGTGCAGCAATTTTTGTACTATCAAAGTTAGTCAACATACCTCTATCAGCAGTGATTTCTCTGTGAGTAATAAAATTGGTTTCCCTAACACATGTGTTTGCAGCTAACCATAACGTGACACGTTTTTCCTAGCTTTATATTTTTAGTGCAGAGAAGACAAGTAGTGTTGTTTCACATCAATTAGCTTAGGGGATTGAGTCAGGAATAAATGAATCCATGTCACTTCGTTCTGACAACCACCCAATCCAGTTGAAATAAACTGTTTCATTAACTACTCATTAGGGCTGCTAGATAATAATATACTATGTGAAAAAGTGAGATAACTCCAAGAGGGAGCAAACTGCTTTTTGGGAAATGGCAATCTTAAAATTATTCGTGCCCCAAGGAGAGAAAAGCAAAACATCACAAAGCTTGAGTGTGGTGCCTTAGAAAAGCTGCCCTTTCAATTTCTCAGAAAACAACGACAACATCTTTTCTAAATATAAGAAAAACTTTGAGACAATCTGAAAAGGAAAATATATAACTTTTACTAGGACTGTTAGAAAAGGCAGATTAGTGAAATGTATCTGTGCTACTTTTCAAGTAGAAACGTGAACAGCTGTTTAGGCTTTTTGCTCACATGACAATGTGAGCAATTCATTCATTTTTAATGAAAGCATATGAATGATATGTTTTCTGTTATGAACTTATATCAATATACTTTACATCTGCAATCTAGAACCTCTAAACGATGCAATGAAAAATATTTTTATTTTATTGTACTCTATTTGTTAAAAGTTAACCATTTCATATTTAGGAATAAAGTAGAATGCATCACTTACTTATAAATAATTACTGAATATCACACTCTTCTGTAATCCAAAAGAAGCAAACTATATTGCTAACGCTTTCAAATCCATGATTTTCTTTGCAGTTTGGAAAAGTAATAAATTGATAAGGCAAGTCTGCAGAAAGTTTTGCAATAAAGTTCTCACTGTATTTTAAATGTCTTATAGTTCAGTATTGTGAAACTTAGACATACCTACTTTGTGCCTGTGACTTAAGAGGTCCTTTTTTGAAGTAACACTTCTCGTTGTGCTTTTTTTTTCCCCAAATGAAATAATATTGAGCTAGGTGCTCTACACATATAATAAAAAATTCTTTCCGCAAACGAGTTTACATCTGTGATATTGATAAGACAGTAGGTAGATAAGACAGACAGGTAGGGAATTGAGGATTTGCACAGGGAAAATGAAAGTATGTTATATAAGCAGCTGTAGTATCAGCTCCCTAACCACTAGGCATGACAACAAGACCATTACTGAGAAGACTGGAAGAAGGTGATAGGCACTGTAGGTGTTTGCTGTGTGGTGGGCAGCATGGGACATGTCTGAAGGAAAAGTAAACTGACTGATAAAACCGATAGTCTTGGGCAGTGGGCATAGCTCTGTACTGGAGGAAAAAAAGGATGAAAAGGAAAAATAGAGACATGAATGGCTATTAAACTGAAGAAAATAGTTTTATTTAATGCATATACAGGAGTTTGCAAAGTGTTAGTATCATTATCTTAACTGTTTTAAGAAGGAGACATCCTTTCCATTCAGAGTTGTCCCTTTCTTCTCATGTTTTACTTCTGACTTTATAATCTGCCTTTTGATGTAGCTTACTGGTATTCTAGAAATTGCACAATAAAAGTTGAATTTGCATTGTGAGGGAAAGAACATTTACTGATGAACTGGCATAAACATTGTAAGTAACACTGTAAGATGCCAGGCTGGGGGAGGAATCTTCCCGTTGTGCAGGAGTCGTGTTGCCCCGGGCATCTCTATCATTTTATTGAGCAAAAGCCCCTATTTTGGCTAGATGGGCATGCAAAATTTATCCTTAGGCTCACAAAATCTTTCTTGACAGGATGTTTCACCTGCTTATGTGATAATCCTGTTATTAAAAAACTGGTACTTATATCACAGCGCTTAGAATTTAGCATATGTGCAGTAAACGTTCACTGAAATCTTTCCAAATATTATTGCTGGAAGTATTTCCAGATCAGTAGGCAATGCGTTCTGCTGAATGTGAGCCTGACATCCGCTGACCACATTACATAGGTGGGTAATTAATAAGACATAGGAGAGGGAGGAGACAATCTTTTTTTTCCTTTTTCCTCCTTGTGAACTTCGTCTGTATTCCAGAGGAAGGAATGACAGTCAAAAATGTCTAGTGTGTAGAGATCAAAAAAGAAGTCAAAGAATGTTCAAAAATTAGAACTGCACATCTTACTCGTGATGTGGGCTGTTTTGTGATGTCTTTGATAGTAGCCCATTTTACCATTTTTGTCAAAGACATGTAAGCTGCCTATAAGCTAACTCTGATATTTTTATTCTGATCCAGCCGGTGATTTTTTGGTGACTTTCCTAATTTTTTTCTCCAGTTTTCTGAGCTGTAGAGTAAAGAAAAGGATTCTTAGTAGACATTGCTGTATCTTAGGACAACGTTTACATATGAAGGATCTTGACCACAAAAACACTGTATGTTCTAAATGTTTTGATTCCTAACTATTTGAGATAGAGGTTCTCAACAGACAGAGATTAACTGAAGAGGTCTCCAGAAATAACTAGATTGGGTTACTGTACAAGGTGCTTTCCTGGACTTATTGTCCTCTTCTACCTAAAATCTTGTCCAGGTGGGCTTTGTAAGCCTTCTGGATGCCTCCAGGAGCTCTGATCTGCCTGCAGACCATCCCAAAAAAGACACAGAGAGCGTCAGCGCAACTCACATGATGGACCAGCTGTGGAAACAGGGGCATCTTCACAATGTTATTTTGACTTTTGCAGTGTTTCTTAAAGTACAATGGCCTCTTTCAATTCCATGCGTACTGGAGCCACCAGACTTACAGGTGAACTGGGCAGGATCAGTACAATATCTACAGCATGTTTTACACCTGCTGGGTTTACCAGCTAAGGCTCAATGAGACCCATGCACACATATTTCTGCCCAGGAGATCCTGTAGAGAGGTACAGGCATCCAAGGCAAGAGCAGAGAGGAGAATATATGGATCTGTTGCTCCCAAGTGCAAAAAGCATTTCATATTTTCCCTGCTGTGCCCTGCTTAAATGCCTTGTCCACAAGGACCACATAAATATTCCCTACAGAAATGCAGTTATAAATATAGTAATTAAAAAAGGTCGTGCAGCGTAATGAGCATGTGATTTCAGTTGATGCTGAACTGCAAAATGAAACCTTCAGACTATCTTTCTCATGCCTACCCCACAATTCTGTGGGCAGGGGTAGGAGGAGAGGTATTTTAGGGGCAGAAACAGATTGATAGAACGGTGATTTGACTGTAATAAATCCAAGGAAGAAATTATACCATTGTTGGTAATTTGCACAGGGGAGGGTCATACTTCTGCATTTAAAAAATGTTCCATTAAATTATAGGTTTCTGACTCCATTAAGAGAAAAATTGGATTTTTTTTTTTAAACTTTGGATTCTGTGACATTTTAAATATTACTTCTCGGTCTTTTTTTCTTTTTTGAAGGAGCCTTATTCAGAATCAGTTTTTCCTCTTCCATCCACCTAATTTGTTCCTATGCATTACTAGAATGCACGTGAGTTTAACTACACTTACAGAGAAAATATCTTTGCAGAGATACTCTTACTGAAAATTCCTGTGTGATGATAAATTAATTTCTAATGAGACTCCAGAAATGAAAACTTGACTCCTCCTTTTCAGTAACTGTATTTGGGTGATCTCTTTGGGTGCAACCCAGCCTTAGGTTCACATTCAGGACCAATGGCTATGTCCATCTTGTAACCTGTGACATGACTTGAGCTTTTTAAGTTGCACAGAGGAATAGCAAGGATAATTGTTCTTTTTTTTTTTAGAATATCTGTAGTTTTTTGAAATGTGTATAAGTGGGTTAGTTTAAACTGTATTATTAGAAAGAAAAGCCTTTTGTTAAATATTATTAATGCTTATTCTGAATTTTTCTGCGTGGACCTAGCTGGTGGTATATTGCAGTCAATGAGAATGCTCATTGCCTTTGGTGCAACCAACATTGGCTTGGTTTCACACCATTCAGGTCGGATGTTTAACTAGGATCAGGCATTGAAAAGCCATTCTTTTAGGTAAATATTTCTTGCGAAGATTATGAGCAAGCAATACAAATTTAACAGCACTAGAAAAGCTTGCCCCACATGACTCCCAACAAAAAATATTCAAGCTAGCTAGTGATTTCTTCAACATTGTCCAACGTTTTCTGTCATTCTCTTAAGACTAACTCTACTAAGGAATTGATCTGTTGCTGACAATACATCTCAACTGTCATGGGTCTGTATACTCCCAGTGTCTGACAACATTTCCCTTCAAATAGCATTTACAAGGGTTAAGTGGTAGCTTATGCTCCCAATGCCATGCCTTCACTGCGAAGGTTCAGTGGCAGCATTTCTGCTGGTGAGTACCTGCCAACATTGTGATTTCACTCCACTGGGTGCTCACAGAGATGCTCCTGCCAGCACAATACCTCCACGCAGCACCAGGCTGGCTGGGCAGCCCGCAGACATGTTGCGTTGTCCATGGAGTCATGCTGTCCCCCAAACCCACTGTATTTGTGTGGTTTCGTCAAAAGGTGCCATGGGCTCTCAGGAAGGCTCTTCCGTCGTCCTTCTCTTCAGTCGTGCTGTGACCATGTACAGGCGTCTGCATAGCAATATGTTTTTGCAGCTAATATATATACTTTTTCTTCCTTAAATATCCAACTTATCCCTCTGGCCACTTCTATTGTTAGCTCTTATTTTGCACTGTGTACCATCTTGTTGTCAGAAAAAGGAATAGGCATGGGGAAATTGCTGGGAAACTTAGCCAAAAGGCACTGCGCTAGTAGATATGGCTACAATAGTGAATATCGCAGTGAGCTTTAGGTTGTCTAAAGGTTTGCTCACTTAGCAGCTGCGAGATAGCAGCTGCTGCAGACAATGAGCCTGGATGCAGGCAGCAGGGACAGAGCCACCAGACCTGGGGCAGTGCTGTGGGAAAGTGTGCCACCACTGCAGCCCGGCCCAGCTAGTGCAAGCACGCCCTGGGAAATACCTGCCTGAAACTTTCATCCTGGCTGCAGCAGAGAACGTGATTCACCTGAAACTGTAACAGGGAAGAGCAACTCTTGCTACCTCAGGCTAGAAACTCAGTCAAGTGTTTTGAACCGGGCATTATACTTGCATACAAATTTAAGTGTTTTTCTCACAGAACAATGCAAGTTACTGTATTTTTTAAGGATTAATTTAAATTCTCTCTCTTTTTATTTGGATAGTCAGGTGTTAAATATTCCATCTGCCCATTCTACCAGAACGGACCTTTAGTTGTTTTTTATTTCAGTTTTTTCTTCTGCACTGCATGTAAGCATGAAATGGTTAATTTGCAATTTTTTCCCCTCTGATTTCATTTGTCCTGATACCAGTCTCATATTCTCGTGCCTACTTTCTATGAACTTTGAAATACCTCTGCAGCATCTAAAGTAGACGTTTTATTTCCCCTACTGAGTACCTAGTGTGTAACAAAGGTTGGCTACCAAGCAATAGCGGCTACTTCAAAAATACGCTGGGGACTTGAAAGATGAGGTGGACTTCTCACCCTTTTGATCTTGAGCAGCAACATTCAAAATTGTAGAGAGTGGGGTCATTTTCTTGAAGACGAGGGTATGGTGGGATCACTCCTAAAACATTGTTTGTTCTGCGGTTTCCATACAGATATATTAGAAAAATCCTTTACCAGTAATGATAACCTTTGGGGAACTGGCTTAAATTCTAGAATTTTATCAATGAGGTTGAGTTATTAGTTCTGAAATATTCACTAGCATAACATAAGTGTTACAGGTAGACTTTCTTACTGCAAACTGGGCCTAAACTTTTAAAAGACAAACTGAAAGACATGACAACGAAACAGTGGCAGATCATTTTCATGCTGCGTAATATAATTTCTCCTTAGGGTTCATAAAGTATTTAAGATATTCAGTATTTTGGCTGCCAGTCAACGTCAATAAAAATAGAGTAACTCGTTTTTGCAGAGGGATTTGATAATCAATGTCTGACCTTCTAAGTGCCTAATTTAAGGAACTTCTGAAAATAGGGTTATGGGATCTCGTAGGGTCACCTTGTCAGGACATTGGGAGGGAGTCCTATGATTCTTTTTGTTTAACGATTCAGAACTTTTCAGTATTTGAAATGCATGCAAGAGCAACTGGAGAGGAAATTATAGAACTGTTAATGCTAGTTTATTTTTTTGTATATACTGCCAGGCGAATCTGGGGACAATAAAAACAGTATTTGAGCTTTGGTTACAGATCTTCAAGAAATTCAAGATTTTTATGGTTGCGGGGGGAAGGGAGAGAGCATTTCACTACTTACATAACTGTGCTGTTTGTTTGTTCAGCAGCTCTAAAAAAATATATGCTGATATATATTTGCCACTTCTCCTACAGTATGAAGCTGTAGAACTTCAAAATTTGCAGCCGATTCAAGCAAAATTCCCAAAAAGAGTTGGATAGCTGTATTGTGCATGGTTTTAGGAGAGTATTATTTGGGAGAAGCGAAGTTCGTTTTGGGGATTGGGGGAGGGGTAATGATTTTTTTTTTTTTTACCCTTCAGCAGAAAACAAGACTTGAGAAAAGACAGCTGATATGAATTAGCATTAGAGATTTTGCTGAGCTGGGGACAGGGGTAGAGGAGGAGCGGTGATACCTGGTAGTACATGGTCAGCTGCAGTCCTGCCATGTGCCTGATCTGGTGTGTTTTTCTCCTTTTGGTTTCAGCAGCTGTGTTCCCCAGCACCCAGACCAGCCGAAGTGCTGCAGTGGCAGGGGTCGTGTCCTTGCCCCAGACCATCAGCCTCCCCTCCCCAGGATGTAACGTGCAGGGCAGTCCTCACCATCCTCCCCACCAGCTACCTCTTCTCTCAGCTGTGGACTCTGAGAGGTAAGACCACCCCTTCTTCTTCTTTTCATTTCAAAAAGCCTGAGGAGCAGCCAAGCTGCTCAGGTGGGTAGAAACGTTGCTGCCCCGGGGTGATGACTGTGGAAGGAGAGGTGAAGTAACTTGGCTATCCCAGCCCAGTGAGTGGGATGTGGGACCTGGTGTCCATCTCCACTGAGGGACTTCCTGCAAACTCCACTTTGATCTCCAGCAATGTCCTCAGCAAGCCAAGTCTGGCTGGCTGGGACATGTCAAACTCCAGAGGAGCCCAGCAGCACCTCCCAGAATGGGCACCCTGAGATTCCTGTTTTTCTGCCTGCAGTAGGAAACTCATAAATCTGAACTCTTTCCTCTAATATTCTCTCAATACTGAGTAACTCTGCAGGAACTTGGCATCTTTTCTCTTATTAAGAGCAATGGATAATGCATGGATTTGTTTTTAATTCACTAGTTACAGGGCTTGATTTACAGTCAGAACTCATTTTTTGTTGGCTAGGAACAAGCCCCTTGGGCTTTGCTGTTTCCATAATTTCATATATTTCAGCAGTTTGAAAGCAAGTTGCTTGAAAGTGGTTTAATTTTCATCCTTAGACATTTCATAAATTATTTTCAGCAATCGTTCCAATTATTTGTATAGTGTGTGGTATTATAGATTGCCATGTAGTTTATTGAAACAGAAGTCTACCACACTGCAAGACTAAAGCGGACTAAGTAAACAGATTTTCAGTAGTAAAGTCAGTAAGATACACTATCGTGCTTGAAAGCTAATGAAATATTGAATTCTTACTATCAGTGTATGGATACTTAAAAGCATTATTTTGCTGATCTCCCTGCCTGTATCTCATTAATGTATTTCAAGGTGTTTAATTTCCTTGAGGGACAGAAATGTCAGTAATTTGAAGACCATAAAATGTCCAACTATAAACATGAAAAGAATGTACCCTAGGTTTCAGTTACTGACAAATGAGTGTAATTTCTTTTGAGGAAAGCTGTAGTAACTCTGCCTTGTATCAGGAAAGTGGAAGAACAGTGGAAGAACACTCAGGGAAATGATATGGGGACAAAAGTACTTTTCATTTTCCAGCTGCACACTTGAATTTAGACAGACTTAGAGCTTTGGTTAGTTTTACGGCTATTGCACAGCAGTTTGAGATTGCCATTTCATGACTGTCTGAACTCATCTAAGGGTTCACTCCCCCTGTTGGCTTCTGGCCATGGCTCTCTTGCATAGCTCGAGGCTTTTCTTTCCTAGTGTAGTTTTCTGTCAGGTGAGTCCAACAGCCACGTCCAACAATTGCCAGAGCACCAGGTGACAGGCAGGTTCATATCAACATCTAGTATAGGCGTTAATTTCATTATCAAAGACAGTGATCTGTAAGGTGATGACTCTTGGGGGACCATAGCAGAAACAGCAGTTAGAGTATGACTTAACTCATGAAGGCCTTGAACGTCTTACAGGCTTTTGGATACTACTGTATTCTGCAAAATAACTGTAATAAGGAACGAGCCTGGTGTTCTCCTTCCTCCTACGGTGTGATAACAGCACACTCTCTTATTAAGGGTTTAGCTGCCATTTCCCATAAGTAGAGCAGCTCTGGATTTAAAAAAAAAAATTGCCAATATGTTCATTTAGGCAATGGGACAAATGGAAGTTTATATTCAGAAACATAAAAAGTATTGCTGCAGTGTTGATTTGATTACAGAACATGTAATACAAATTAAGAGAAATGCTTAGAATGAAAACTAATACTGAAACGGCATCTTGACTCTAATAGAGATCATTTGCCTAAAGCCCCTGAACGCAGGCGCTCAGTTATACCAGTTTTGGGCAAGTGAAAATAGCCACAAAAATGTGAACTGAGCAAACCAGCACTTCAGTACGCAAAGAGCCAGAAATAGTGGCTTTGACAAGCACAGATTACTCTATTTATCTCCATCTCGTCATGCAGACCTGCAGGATTTAGGGGTACAAGCAGGGAATTTGTTCCCTGTAGTTCCTGGCATGTACCTGGGTCCTTCCCAAGCCAGAGCTGACTGATGAGTGCGTGCCCCTGGGACTGCATGCATTTATCGGACTAAAACCAGTCCATGCCTGCCTTGCAGCTTTGGTGGCGCCAGGGCCAAGCCTGTGCCTTGCCACTTTGGCCACCAAACTGAGGCATGTGAGGGACAGAGGCAGGAGGAAAGAAGCACATCTCCCTATCTCCATGGGCCATGGGACAGGGAAAAAAATGGAAGACTTCTCTTCCGTCTTTCTCCGCCTAGTGGTGTGGAGGGAGACTGCAGCGCTGATAATGCAGGACCCTAAGCCTAATTAACGTGAAAAGCTGACCTGAGCGTGTGACATGTCTTACACCACTTTGATTCTGTATACGAATCTCAGTGTACTGAGTACAAGTCAGGCAGAGGGTTTGGATCCAAGAAACTGCTTCATGCATCTGAGGCAAGAACATGCACAATAGAAAAGCAAACTTACGTTTTGATTGTCCCAGGTCTTGGGTTCTAACTTTCAGCGCTCACCTGACTTGCAGTGTTCTCTTGAGTAGTGACCGTTCGATGAAGACAACAAATGATAGTGGCACACATAAATCATATGTATGAAAGGGAATATATGTTTGGCTTCATTTGCACTCATTTTTACAATAAAAGAAGACAAGGCATACAGTGAGGTTGAAAAATAACTTACTTAAAACCCAGAAAAATTATTCTGGTTTTATGTGATGTAATTAACATAGGCAGTTCAGTGCCACAAAACTGTTGATACTAAGTGCTTGAAATTATTTGCTACAAACATGAGTAGTATCTTCTTTGGTAGCCAAAAAAAGAAATACAGATTTTGCTTATTAAGGGCTACTTCTGTGCAAGAAGTAACTGGTAAGCAGACGTGAGACTAGGACGGTCTTTTTGCACTGGGCATGCTGCTCCATATGATTTTTCACCTTTCTATGAACCAGGGCTGGAGGTATGGCCCTGAGGCATGACACATGGTGGCTTGACAGGAATTTCTAGACACTGTATAAAACTGGAAGGAAGGACTTAGGGCTGAACTCTTCAGTTTAGCATTACTGTAATACTATAATAAGTTACACGACAGTGCTTCTGTTTGCTTATTTGAGTATGTGGTTATACTCCTTTTATGCCCCTGCTGTAAAATAATAAATATCTCCGAGCCAGACTTCCAGACGCAAGAGCCCCTGAGGGTATCCAGCCAAGGAATCAGGATATCTAATGTTCATGTGTTACAAAGCCTTTTGTATGTGGCATACAAGGGGTGGCTCTTAGGAAGCCTTTAGTTAGAGATCTTAACAGTTAGGTTTTGAAATTGGGACAGTAATTTCTTTCCAGACTCGGAACTCTTAGGAGAATTGGCTGCTAAGAAACATTATCTCTTTTTTTCAGTTGGGAAGGAGTGAGAAATTTAGTTAGGAATTAGTGAGGAAATCAAAGGTAACAATTATGGGCTCTAAAGAGTGGAGGTGAGCAGCAATATAACCCTGAACCAGGGCCAGAGCCAAGCTACCAAAGCTTGGGATTTTTCTCCATATTATTTCCACTGTTTCTTTCCCAAAGAAGCACTTTCTTTTTTCGCATTTGCAAGAAACTCAGTTTGCTAATACAGATACATCCACAGAAAATGCTGAGAGAGATTTTAAAGTTATATTTCTGTCTACAGGGACCTCTGTATTTCGAGACAGCCCCTCACATTTCCCCGGCTTAAATTCCACTCTTCTTTTTTCTTCTAATCAAAGCACATGCTTGGGTGCTTGTCAGAAGAGCTGTTCTTTTTTTCCTCTGGCCCCTTCTTTGGGCTAGATGGACCACTGGTTTGATCTGTTATAGCAGTTTCTGTGTTCCTAAAGCCTGAGAATTTGTATCTTGAAAAGGATTTTTAGACACTTATTAGTGGCTGAAAAGAAGAATATAGAATTAAAGTCTAGTGACACATGCAGTCATCTACCCTAGACACCATGGGGACGAAAACCTGCTGCGGTATCATTGCTATGCAGACTGTGAGGCCCGTGGAGAGCAGCAGAGCTGTATGAATGCAAATTTGGTGGCTGAACAAAAGGGCAGACAAATATTTTTTTTTTACATTAGCTAAAATATTTCTTTCTGAAAATAAGGTTATTTACTTTTTTAGAAAAAAAATCAATTTCAACATAAAATCAGTGAAGTGAGGTATATTGTCTCATACATAGGTATAATATTCATTTTTCGGTTATTTTGGCCAAATGGATGCATGCATGACTTTTAGGGAAAATATTTGATTTTAAAAAGTTGTGATTTGCAGAAGCTATGTTTCTCTATTTTTAAACCATGTCTATTGGGTTGTCATTGATGGCTAGCTGGAGGTACAGAGCAGTGTGTTGGGTTACTGTAATACAGTGGAAAGTTTTGCTCGCTGATAGTGGATTGGGGAGCTGCAGAATCACTAGCACCTAAAATAAAGAGTAGAGCCCAACTAGCGTGTGAAATCACAGAAGACAAAGGTAGTGTTTAACACAGAGACCTGAGACAGTCCCACACTTTATGAATTTGCCTAGAAATAGAAAGGCAACAAAGAGGGAGTGAGTATGGATTATAACTAAATGTTGTCTGAAGGTGCAGCTCTGCTTACTACCCTGGAGGAGACAGCAACCTGCTACAAACAGCTTATGGTTTTCATCCTCGGTCCAGTCAAAACTGAGATTGAAATAAGATGAAAGGCTGATCTTCTGGCTGTGTCAACCTCAAAACATTTTGCTATGTTCCCAAACTATTGCAGCCCAGTAAAATATATTAGAAGTCCAGCCGGTTAACAGAGCCATGATCCAATAAATCGTTTAAAAACATATCTAAAGAAAACACAAACTGAAGACAAAAGACCAAAGTTTTCAGCTTTAATATTCTGTTTCCATTTTGGAAGCATATTGAAAGCATCCATAAAGTTTGATCTCATGAAAATAATGGCACACACTCAAATTTTTAGTACAAAGTTGAGGAAAAAAGTGGACAATGAAAAT